TATTCATCGCGGTGTTCTTGTTAAAAAGGTGGTTCTAAGCCTTAATATTAGAGACAAAATATGAAATTACTAGATTAGCAAAATAAATAAATAAATAAATAAATTACTAGTTATTGCAAGGTTAAAATCTACAACCATATATTGATACCCACTTTTATACCGGACCCATTAAAAGTCTAGGTCCAATCTGTCACTCTCATAATGTAGTTGTGCTTGTTTCGTAGATTCAAGAACATTCGGAGAACTCACGTGAGTCATGGTTTGGTGGGTCAGTGACAAAAGGAGGCTTGACCCATGCCGCCCTTAGATTTTTGAAATTTTTTGATAGTGCATATGATTTTCAAAATTTTTTATATATGCCCCCTCATTCACCCCTTGAATTTTTGAAAATTTCTTATATATAATGTAATTTTTCAAAACCTTTTATATATGCCCCTTATTAATAAGATCTTATATATGCCCCCTCATTAACAAAATTTTTTCTCTTATTTATTCTTATTACTTTTTTTTTTCAAAATATGTCTTTACTTAACTATATTTTTCTAAGTTATTTGCCCGTGTTGAAATATTTTTTTTTCTTTTTCGAATGTGTCTCTACTTAAACATTTTTTCTCTTACGATCTTCTAATTTTGTTCATACAATATCTTCATTAATGTGGTATTTATATAATACTTTTTTTCTAATTTTCTATTGAAATAACTTTTCTTCAATGCATCTCTATTTAAACATTTTTTCCTGCAACCTTTTCAAATACTAGTTTCTTTGATGTGCCCCTTAAATAATCTATTTTCAAATTCGTAACACCAAAATCCTTGTTTTAAGTGTTCTACTTTATTTTTATTATTGTTGTTCTTGATGTTATTATTATTTTACTAAACTAAATGCATAAGAGAGTAATAAATCAAGAAGAAACCTAACTTTTAAGAAAATTCTACAATTACATAGCAAAAAATTTTAAAAGAATTAGCTTCCAACTATGTAATAGTATTAAAAGTTGATAACTTGATGGTTTTGAAGGTTTTTCACGTTTTTAGCTTATGCCCCTTAAAACAAAATCTTGACTCCATTACTAGGTGGGCCATGTGTGATCAAGTTGGTATATTTATCGTTTCATTGCGTATTAATTTAAATCTCACTTGGGAATTCTTCATATTAATCCAATTAAATATAAATGGATAATGTAGAATTCCCAAAAACAAGCTTTCCTCCTATCCTCTGGAAACTTAAAAGACCTAAAGTCCAAGCCTTAGAATTTTCCCAACAGTTAAGGTTTGAATCTCAGTGTTTTGACTCTAATGGAAGGCTTCATTCACATCCAGATATGCCTAACAGACCATCCTTCGTGTCAGGTATGTCCTTCGGACTATTTCTTTGCACCCAGAAACGTTTAACAGAGTCATTCTCTAAGCATGTCTTCTTATCCCCAAGCTCGCCTGTTGGAGTAACTTCATTTGGAGCAATTTTTGCGTCAAAGCAAACTATTCGACAGATGTTTAGCCATACTTCGCCTAAACCATCTCTGACGAGTTTTGACTTGCGATCAGACCTTCGAAAGAGGAAGTCAACGGAGTACAAAGTTGAGTTAAATACTCTTGAGAATTTCAAACCTAAGGAAGCTCCATGTCAGGCCAAAATATGAAACTTAGCCTTCAAGTTTTCCCATTTTTAGACCATCCTTTTGTCAGCCAGAATGCAACCTGATGACATTACTCCTAGAGGGATTGTGTGTGCAGGCATTTACTACCCATCAGACTGCGTAGCAGCCCCCATGAACCTTCCATTCTATTTTTGGTGTCTCTTTTCAACCTCGAAAAGGAGTCTGAAGGCTTTAATCTATCAGGATTTTGTGTGCATGTCTCTATTAGATCGCCACCGATTTGCCTCCGAAGCAAATCCCTAGAACTTTCAATTCCATTATCAACCAATCTCTTTTTCAACTCTGGAGAGGTGCCATATAGTTTTGCTCCATCAAGATTGCTTGTGCAAGTCTCCATTAAAGCACGTCGTACGGACCTCCGAAGCTGCCGTCAAAATGCTCCCATTTTTACTTATAAATACCCCTTATCTCCCATTTCAACACTAAGTTCGGACCTTCATAACTCAAGTGCTAAAACTCTTGAGAAATTACTCTAAAAATTCTCTTTATCTCTCAATATCTTCTTCAAGTCTTTGCTACAAAATTGAAGCTCATTTTATCGAGGGGCTGCCCAATTTCTAAGTATTGACAACCTTAGAAACTCTCCAAGAACTCTCTTTGATCTTTTTTCCACCATTGTTGAGTGTTTTAGGCTTTGTTTGGTTCGTCGTTCAGATTGTGTGATTTAGTTTGATTGTGGTGATTTGAATTGCGATTTAGACCAGTATTTGGATATGTAAATCAATTATAATTTGAATTGGGAATAAAATCCGAGCTGCATTTTGATAAAGTGTTGAAAATTATCATTAAAGTTTTGTAACAAATCTTATAAAATCTCAATGTAAATGACGTTAAAAAAATGCAAAATGGATAAAGATTTGTTACTTTCTTGATTATGAACACATTGAAAAAAAAAAATCATCTCATTGAAATGAGGGAGAGAGAAAAAGTAAAATTCAAATTGTTTCACTGAAAAAAAACAATCCGAATTATGTGAATTTAGGGGGAATGGTCAATTCTCAAAATGGATAAAGATTTGTTACTTTCTTGATTATGAACACATTGAAAAAAAAAATCATCTCATTGAAATGAGGGAGAGAGAAAAAGTAAAATTCAAATTGTTTCACTGAAAAAAACAATCCGAATTATGTGAATTTAGGGGGAATGGTCAATTCTTAAATCAAGGGTTTGAATATTTCTTAATGGTTTGAATTATCCTCATTTCGTCATCAATTTGAATCTTGAACTACCATTTGAATTGAATTGTTAGGTTAAATTGTTGAAAAAAACGTGCCCTTAATGTTTCTTCATACTTTTCCAAAGCTCTACTATGTTAGGCCCCATATACTTTTCTCCTTTTATTAATTACTTGATCACTCTTCCTACCATGCCTCATTTGTGAAGTTCTTTATTTATTATTTTCAAAATCTCACTTGTTTTACAGGGATATTTAGGTCATTAAGCAACAAAGTGGGCTCTAGGATTCGATTTCTTCAGTTCTCTTCAGGCCTAACCAACCCCCTTTTTCCTTTGAAAGTTCTGCCTACGTCATCTTCTTTGAAGCTCACAAAGTATTTCGGCCACGTCGGATCCGACTTTGATGAGTCGTGTATTTACACATGTCAACTCCCGACACCTCGTACCTTATCAACGAGACCCCGACACCATACAACATGGAATCTTATAAAACGACCCTCTCAAGTCTTTCTATCTCTCCTGGAGTTCTTCCCTCTAGGTTGCCACTTCTTCTTTTGTTCTCCTTAGGAAGGTCAAGTCCTACATTGCTAATTCTGAGTAGGTCATGTTAGGTTATTGTGTTAGTTGGCTATTTGGCAAACTAAGTTGTTTTTTGGGTGTTTTTGGAAAAATAATTTTTTTTTTTTTTTTTTTTTTTTTTTTTGTAAATAAAGGTCCAGAAAATAGCAACTAGAAATCATCATGGAATTATGGATTGCTACAGTGGAGTTGGTGCATTATGCAGATTAGTTGTTGCTAACAGATAAGGAGAAGATAAAGCCAAGCACGTGAAGGTCTCGATCTTTTATTTGAATTTGTACTTGATCTGTTTTTCTAAGGAGGTTCAGATTTAGAAATTAGGAAAGATAATCTGGAGGATTTGGAATTCAAATTTAAAAGAAGATTATACAAAACACATCAGAGAGAATCATGGAGAAAAAGATAAGAGATTTGTATTTGAACAAGATTCAGTGAGCCATTTGAAAGATGAGATAAAAAGGCTTCAGTTCAGGAAATAGTGTTACGCTTTTGAATGTGCTGAAATTTCCAGAGGGTGTGCTGTTGAGAGAAGATAGAACTTGTTGAAAAGTTATGAGCCCTGTTCAGTGATGAAAGTATGAACGACTGACTGAAGTTCAGTAGTTGAATGTGAAGACGTGTGGTACACGTTAAACAGAGTCATTGTGTGAGTTCATCACAGCGGCGTCATAGTCTAGGTGGGAGTCCTTAAGTGAATAAGTCTATTAGTGTTGTAATTCTTAAAGTATAGTGAAACTGTTTACTGTCTGGGCATGGCCCCGCAGAGTAGGTGTGCGTACCGAACTGCAATAACATATCGTGTGCATTTATTTTACTTTCTGCATTATTATCTTTCCTTAGTAATTAATCTGAATAGTAAAAAGCTGGTAGTGTTCCGGATAGTGTTCCAACATCATCTAGAACATCAGACGTAACATCAGATCTAACGGTGGTATCAGAGAGATTCACTGACCAGAAGTTCGGTGAGATCTTAAAAAAAATTGATCTGCAACGTCTGAGATGGATTTGCTGAAGGAAGGAGGTTCAGTATCACGTCCACCTCTCCTCGATGGCTCAAATTATTCTTATTGGAAGGCTCGGATGAAGACTTTCATTAAGGCTCAGGATGAAAAAGCATGGCGTGCAGTCCTGACTGGCTGAAAGCATCCAGTAACTAAGGATGCAGAAGGAAAATAGACTCTCAAGCCTGAAGAGTCATGGACCACTGATGAAGACAAGTTGGCCAACTACAACTCACGTGCACTCAATATAATATTCAATGGAGTTGATGTTAATCAGTTCAAGATGATATCCACGTGTGAATCGATAAAAGAAGCATGAGAGATTCTGGAGGTGGCTTATGAAGGAACAGCCGCGGCCAGATAATCAAAATTGAATATGCTCACAACCAGGTTTGAAACTCTTCGTATGCTTGAAACTAAAACTATTTTTGAATTTAATTCACGATTATATGATATAGCTAATGAATCTTTTGCTCTTAGTGAAAAAATCTCAGAGGAAAAACTTGTCAGCAAACCCCTGAGATCACTACCATAGAGATTCGATTATAAGGTCACTGCTATTGAAGAAGCTAAAAATATTCAAACTATGAGACTAGATGAGTTGATGGGATCATTAAGAACATTTGAGATGAATCTGGACCAAAACAAGCAGGAGAAAGAAATGTCCTTTCAAGCAGAATTGCAAAAACTGACTGTGGAAGAAGATGTAGGAGATCCACAAGTTTTGGTAGAATCATTTGTTCTTTTGACAAAGAATTTCAACCGCATTTGGAAACGAGTAAAAGGTAAGGGATTCACTCCAAATTCTGGCAAATTCAACAACTTTCAGAAGAATACAGATGCTGCAAGCAATTCAGAAGCCAAGACACAAAACCGAGGCATCTAGTGTCGAGAATGTGACGGATATGGACACATCCAATCGATATGCACAAATACCCTTAAGAAGAAGAAGAAGAAGAAGAAGACATTCAACGTGACTTGGAGTGATGAAGAATCTGATGGCAGCCAGGAAAATGAAGATCATGTGAACAATTACGTCGCCTTCAATGTACATCAGGATGTTTCCAATAACAGTGTTGCAGATCGTGTCACAAACGATGTTGGAACATCATCTGTAATACACTCACAAAAACCAGAAGTAAACGGAGATCTTTCTGATTCTGACAGTTTCAGTAATGATGGAGAACTGACACAAGAGACTATTCAGGAGGCTTATGAATCAATGTTCAACAAATGGATTCAGGTGGTCAAGTTAAACAAGTCACTTGAAAAGAAATTGGCCGATACTTTAAAAGAAAATGAGACTCTAAAGATTAGCCATGAGACCAAGATTGCTGAAATGGATAAAAGACTGCAGGAAGCTAATGCTGAATTAGAGCATACTCAGAATACCTTGAAGACGATGAACACTAGTACTGCTAAACTAGACCATAGTTTGTTTATGGGCAAATCCAGTTGTGATCATTTTGGATTAGGCTACAATGGAGAAAGCCAGTCATCCAAGTTAGTCTTTGTTAAAGAAAAATCTTAGTCTGTGCCAAAAGTCCCTCACTCTAAGACTATTACTCATGCCCGCTCACAATAAAAACCATTTATTCCCATTTACTACTATTGTAATTTTCCAGGACACATTCGACCATGGTGTTACAAGTACCTAAATGCCTTAAAAAGAGGAATGCTTCCAAATTCGTCAAATTTCATAAGAAAAACATCAAGGAGGAAGGATGATGGAGATAGTAGAATTACACATAAAGTATGGGTAAGAAAAACCGACTTAAGATGTCATGTGGCCTACACATCTTTGAAAGCAAGTACGACCAACTCATGGTATTTTGACAGTGGATGCTCCAGGCATATGACTGGTGAAAGAAGTTTTCTAAAGAATTTCATAAGTTCAACTGATGGACATGTGACCTTTGGTGATGGTGTTAAGGGGAAAGTGCTTGGGAAAGGAACTCTAGATGTTGATGGATTATCAAGACTGAAGAATGTTTTACTTGTGGAAGGGTTGAAGGCCAATCTCATAAGTATTAGTCAGTTATCTGATCAAGAACCGTTTGTGAGTTTCTCTAAAGACAAGTGTCGTATGATTGATGAGGAAGAAAACTGTGTGATGGAAGGATCAAGATCATCTGATAATTGCTACATGTTGGTGCATCCACTCTCATGGCTCAAAGCTACTAAAGAAGAAATTGAGGTATGGCATCAAAAGCTCAGACATCTTAATTACAGAAACTTAAAGAAGATAGTTGATGCATGGGCAGTTAGAGGAGTGCCTAAACTTGGACCAATACCACTAGGAATATGTGGGCCTTGCTAGATTGGAAAGCAGCTAAAGGTGTCACACAAGGTGTTACAATACATAACCACAACACAAATTCTTGAACTAATTCACATGGATCTTATGGGTTCCATGTAGGTTGAAAGAATTGGTGGAAGAAAGTACATATTTGTGTGTGTGGATGACTTTTCCAGATTCACTTGGGTTAACTTTATTAGGGAGAAATCTGACACCTTCAAGGTGTTCCAGAATTTGTGTTCAAAAGGAGAAAAACTGCAGTATTGGGAAAATAGTGAGAATTAGAAGTGATCACGACAGGGAGTTTGAAAACACAATATTTACTGAATATTGCAATACGCGCGACATTGCTCATGAATTTTTAACACCAAAGACTCCTCAACAAAATAGAGTTGTTGAAAGAAAGAACATAACTCTTTAAGAGATGGCTCGTGTTATGCTAAATTCAAAACGCTTATCATATAGATTATGGGCAGAAGCAGTTCATACTGCATGTCACATGGTGAATTGAGTTTATTTCAGACTAGGAACAAGAAACACTCTATATGAGATATGAAAGGGAAGGGAGCTAAATCTCAGTTACTTTCATGTTTTTGGAACTGTGTTACATTCTGAATGATCGGGAACAAAGAGGAAAGCTCGATGCAAAAAGTGATGACGGAATTTTCCTTGGATACTCTTCTACTAGTCGTGCATATAGGGTCTACAACAAAAGGACTCAAACGATTATGGAATCCATAAACGTGGTGATTGATGACTTCAATGATGAATCAGAGAGACTTACAAATGATGAGATATACAAGTCCACTAAAGAAGGTGACAAGATGTTTGAAGAATGGCGTGTAAAGGACAATACTGCTGATAGTGTTGCTAATGATGTTGGGACATCATCTGAGACGCAGATGCCAGAGCAAGAGTTAGAAGTCCTAGATGCAGCTAATCAGATTACCAGAGAACCGTCATCTAGAATCAAGAGGAATCATCCAGCTGAGGAAGTAATTGGCAGAATAGATGAGGGAATACGCACCAAAGACAGGCCAAGAATTAACTACCGTGACATGGTTAGGTATGTCTGTTACACTTCTCTAATTGAACTGAAGAACGTTAAGGAAGCTCTGCTAAATGAGTACTGGATAAATGCAATGCATGAAGAGCTAGAACAATTTGTGAGAAATGATGTGTGGTCCTTAGTTTCCAGACTAAAGGATTCTAATGTTATTGGAACCAAATGGATTTTCAAGAATAAAACAGAAGAAAATAGAAATATCACTAGAAATAAGGCTCAGCTTGTAGCTCACGGTTATACTCATATTGAAGGGATTGATTTTGATGAGACATTTGCTCCGGTCGCATGACTTGAGTCCATTCGATTATTGCTGGCCATCGCTTGCTTGATGAGGTTCAGGTTACATCAAATGGATGTGAAAAGTGCTTTTCTAAACGGGTTCTTGAATGAGGAAGCTTTTGTGGAACAACCAAAGGGTTTCGAGGATCCAGAACATCCAGATTATGTCTACAGACTAAAAAAGGCTCTAAATGGTCTAAAACAAGCTCCGAGGGCATGGTATGAACGATGGACAGACTTCCTTGAAAAGAAAGGCTACACGAGAAGAGGAGTTGACAAGATTCTGTTTATCAAGAAGTTTAACACAAGAATCATTATGGCTTAGATATATGTGGATGACATTGTTTTCGGCTCTACTTCTCAAGCCAAGGTGGACGAATTTGTGAATCAAATGAAGAAGGAATTTGAAATAAGCATGGTTGGTGAGTTGAATTACTTTTTGGGATTGCAGATAAAACAGTTAGAAAACGGCATTTTCATCTCGCAGAGTAAGTATGCTCAGAATCTTGTGAAGAAATTCGGCCTTGAGCAGTCTCGGCATATGAGAACACCAATGGGAACTAATGACAAGTTGACAAAGGATGCTTGCGGTATTAATGTGGATCTGAGTCTCTATAGAAGTATGATAGGGAGTCTTCTCTACTTGACTGCTAGTAGACCGGATATAAGTTACAGTGTTGGGGTGTGTGGCAAATATCAAGCTAATCCTAAGGAGTCGCATGTAATGGCTGTCAAGAAGAGTATTCGCTATGTAAGTGGGACGACTGACTATGGTATTTGGTATACCAATGATACTAATTCTAGGAGACGTTTGGTTCATGGATTAGAATCATGTTATTAGAATCATTTTTGATTTATGTGTATTTTTTTGAGAGAAAACACTGTAGCAAATCATGAACCATGATTCAAATCATTGTTTGAATCCTCCAACCAAACATCCCCTAGTCTTGCTAGATTTAGTGATTCAGACTAGGCAGGCAGTGCTGATGACAATAAGAGTACTACTGGAGGATGGTTTTATCTTGGAAACAACCTGGTCTCTTGGCACAGTAAGAAGCAGAATTCCATTTCACTATCTACTGTCGAGGCTGAATACATTGCTGTAGGAAGCTGTTGTACACAACTGGTGTCGATGAAACAAATGTTGAGTGATTATGGAATCCCACAAGAATTCTTAACTGTATACTGCAATAATCTGAGTGCCATCAATATATCAAAAAACCCAGTTCAACATTATAGAACAAAGCATATTGATATTCGGCATCACTTCATTTGGGAGTTAGTTTGGAGTACGTTGCAACAGAAAAATAATTGGCAGACATTTTTACGAAGGCATTAGATTCAGTAAGGTATGAGTCATTAAGGTATGCTATGGGGATATGTGTTATGTAATTAATAATAATAATAAAAAAATGGGGCCGGGAAGTTAAAAAAAACACTATTCATCTTCTTCTTCACCACAAATCCCGACCATTCCATCCGAAACCTAGCCCAAAATTTTTCCCCTAAAATTTTTTTTGTCTGTTCTCTCTGCAACAATGGTGTTGACTAGAAGCAACTCCGGTTCCAAATTTGATGCAAAAGTTGAACGCTTAAGGAAAGATATTTAAGATCGTGTTCTTGCGGCTATGCAAAAACCCAAATCATCATCCTCTAAATCTCCAAAGACGAAAAAGAAACCGCCTCTGCCCAAGTCTGCCACTACGCGCCACTACGAAACTCTGTCTAACGATCCAGATCCGATGCCTCTCTCCGTGATTCGGCCTTGGGAGATGGTTCCTTACCATTTGCGATATGAGAAGAATCTTGAGGAAGAAGAACAACCACCGCTAGGTACTTCTCGGGGATCCCCAGCACCGAGTGATTTCTCAGCTTCCTTGCCGCCATCACCACCAACATCTCCCACATCTCCAAAAAGAGCAAGTCAAGATAAACCCCATGTTTCTCCACCAGATCTTCGAGATGACAGAATGAGTTCGATTGATCTAATGTCCGCTCCTCCGCTACTTGGGTTTCCCACTTGGAAATCAAGATTCCGTATGTATCTTGAAGGGCTCAAAGGAAAGTTTGCCACTCGCATTGAAAATGAAATTCCATCACAACAGTCCAAGAAGCGCCCAGTTATTGAAGATAGTGACTCCTCTTTTCAACCTGAAGATGAGCAGGTAGATGCTGAGGACTTTGGTGACAATGCGGGTCAGTCGTGTCCTAAGTCTCCAGTTGGTCCAAAGAAACAAAAGAAGCTTTGTCTCCAGTGTGTTCAAAGAAACAGAAAACGCCCTCGTCTCCAGTTTGTTTAAAGAAATAGAAGCAGTTTTCGGTTCCAGCATGTTTGAAGAAATAGAAGAAGCCATCCGCAGTTCCAGTAGGTTCAAAGCGAGCTAGCCGAGCCAACGTAAAGTCTCCAAAATCTGGTAAGCCTATTAGTCCTTCTACATCATGTCTAGCTCTGAATGTTTCACTATGGGATGCAATGTCAAGGAGGAAAATTCACTCTGAGAGATTGATAAATTTGATTGAATATGCATAATTGGGGATAGTTCAGCTATTAAAAGCACATAATCTATATGTTACTGTCTCAAGAGTTAAACCTTTTGTCAAGAATATTGTGATAAAATTCTGTGCTAATTTGCTCAAAGCAGTTTGAGAGCCAAATTCAGATATGTTTCACACTGTATATGTCAGAGGAGAAAAGTTTGAATTCTCACCTAAGGTGATCAATGATTTTTATGGAAGTCATGTGGAGATTGAGAATTAAATAGTTGATTATGATAAGGTCGTTACTGAACTAACAGCTGGTGTTCGTTGTCAATGGCCTAATGTTAAAAGTAAAAGTTTTCCCGATGTGGATCTAAGCTTGAAGTATTCTGCTCTACACAAAATTACGGTGGAAAATTGGCTCCCAAGTTTTCATACTACAGGTGTGCACAAACAGCTGGCCGAAGTCCTGTATTTAATTGGCACAGGGGTCCCCGTTGATATAGGAGAACTCATCTTTAACAAAATTGTTAGTCATCCAGAGGTGATAGCATCCAAATCAGCACTTCTTTTTCCATCCGTGATATATGGAGTTTTAATGTCTCAAAAGGACATCAAGGCAACAAATGATGTGTTCGAACCGTTGAATCGCCCACTCAGAGTGTCTCAGAAACTCCACGAAGGCAACCATGTGAATGATGTGTAGGGGAGTATGATAGTGATAACACAGGGATTGAGGGGGAGAGTGTTTTAGAAGACTTTGCAGGTAATGTGGCCTCTGGATCGGGTTTAAAAATTGCTGATGCTCAGAGACATCGCACCATTCAGTATCTGCAAAAGGAGTTGGTAAGGCTCACAAAGAAAGAAAAACTTCTAGCTCAAGAACAGAAAGAAGTTGTTCAGAGAAAGAAAGAAGATGCTGCGTTCCTTGCTGATTTGCTTGCTACTTCGTCCGTTCCCGAGCCAGCCTTTGCGTCTGCTCCAGAATGAAGGCCGGTCTGTTGTGTTAGTCCTTTGGCTTTGTTTTGTCAAACATGCAGAGAAGGGTCTTGTGCTTGTATTTTTTTGTCGATGATGTGTTTTGTATTTTCTTTGACCTTTTGTGCGTTGTTTTTAGTTTTGCCAAAAACAACCAAAGGGGGAGTTTGTTAGGTTATTGTGTTAGCTGGCTGTTTGGCAAACTAAGTTTTTTTTTTTTTTTTTTTTTTTTTTTTTTGTAAATAAAGGTCCAGAAAATAGCAACTAGAAATCATCATGGTATTCTAGATTGCTACAGTGGAGTTAGTGCATTGTGCAGATTAGTTGTTGCTAATAGATAAGGAGAAGATAAAGCCAAGCATGTGAAGATCTCGATCTTTTATTTGAATTTGTACTTGATCTGTTTTTCTAAGGAGGTTCGAATTTAGAAATCAGGAAAGATAATCCAGAGGATTAGAATTCAAATTTAAAAGAAGATTATGCAAAACACATCGGAGAGAATCATGGAGAAAAAGATAAGAGATTTGTATTTGAACAAGATTCGGTGAGCCTTGTTCAGTGATGAAAGTATGAACGACTAAAGGGAGTTCAGTAGTTTAATGTGAAGACGTGTGGTACACGTTAAACAGAGTCATTGTGCGAGTTCGTCACAACGGCGTCATAGTCTAGGAGGGAGTCTTTGAGTGAATAAGTCCGTCAGTGTTGTAATTCTTGAAGTATAGTGAAACTGTTTACTGTCTAGGCGTGACACTATAGAGTAGGTGTGCGCACCAAATTATAATAACATATCGTGTGCATTTATTTTACTTTATGCATTATTGTCTTTCTTTAGTAATTAATCTGAATAGTAAGAACACTGATAATGTTCCGGATAGTATTTTAATATCATCTGTAACATTAGATCTAACAAGTAATGAGACTCTCGATCCTGATAGCAGAATCTGGCGGTCCCCGAAAGGGGTAGGGGGATAACTGACTCGGCTTTGACTGTCAGTTCTGGCCACATTGATGATCCGGTGTGCTTGCAACTCCAAGGTTTTTGTCCCCTTTATGCAAGCTTCTAGTGGGCATGCATACTGGTCGGGACTCGACGTCATCCTACGTGTTTCCCACATGGCGGTGTTTTGCTGATCTCAAATTTTATTTTTGTTTTTAGTACTTATTTTGTTTCCACAGACACGATGTTAATTCTACCATTTGTGTGTAGTATTATATTTTTTTGGAGTGTTTTTATTTTGGCTGTTCTATAACGGAGGGAACACTTATAATTCGTTATTTGGTCCACAGGAATTGATTAGAACTACAGGAATTTATTAAATTTATAATTCGTTTCCATAGTTGATAAATATGTGTTCCACTCCCAAGCGTTGAAAAGGGACATTATTAATTAATCAATTCTATATTTGGGTTCGTCATCATTCCCGCAGATATTGAAATTCTCAAATAAAGTAAGAGATAAGGATTGATAACTATCTTTTGACTTATGCAAACATAACTCTGTAGTCCATACAATAAAACCTCTATAAATTAATATTGTTGGGACTAAAAGAAAATATTATTTTAATGAGGTTATTAAGTTATCGATAAATGAATATGTTATTGATTTAAGAAGGATTTTATATTTTAATAACTTGTGCCATTTTGGTGCATGTATTATTCTTTTCATCCAGATTCATGTATGAGTTATAAATAAAAAATAGTAATTGTAGTCAAAATTAATAAGTTTACATATAGAATTACAAAAGTTATCATGTATATAATAAATAATAATGTAAGTACATCGTATATAAAATGTTAATAAGTATGTACATAGACATAAAACAGATGTATGTAGTTTTCAAATTTAGTACCTAGAAGGAAAGAAAAAAAAAACTCTTAAATATGATGATTTTATATGTTTTTTGTTTTTGTGTTTGATTAATTATTAAATTATATTTTTATTGGGCCTTAAAGGATTTGAAAAATAATATTATCTTATGCATATAACGAGATTATTAATTTAGTATATTGGCCTAAGTCAAGACTGAAAACTTTTATTATTTAATCGAGATTATTAATTTATCGAACATTTATTTATTGACATTTTACTGTATATGTTATGTTTTATACCCTTCAATACAATTACAAGCAGACTAACAATAGCATAATCAAACATATAGCATAAGATCTTGATCTCTTTCTTATTGATTCACATTTCACACAATTAACGAGTCATGCCTCCTTCCACGACCGGAGGCATTGCAATTCCGCGGTTCTTTTCCTCCACGTTTCCATGCCACCCTGTTTACACATTTTTTTTAAGCCAACCACAACAAAAACAGATCATCAGTCAAACCCCACAACCATTAATGTATGTCATTTTTCAATTATATGTATGCATATATATATTAATATATATATATATATATATATATATTCGAGATGAATTAAGGGATGTTCTTTTTATAGGTTTGAATAGAATGTATTCAAATTTTAGTAGGAGAAAACATTGTAAAAAAAATGCGGAGAAAAAAGTAGAAGACATCATAATTTAGGGGTAAAACAAGTACATTTTAAAGTTTAGAGGGTCTATTGCCATAAATGATAAAGTTTAAGGGACAGTTATAAGTATTTCTGTTAAAAAACTTAATGGATTTAATCTCAAATGACATATTGACACAAATGACAAAATTTAAAATGTGCGACATGCATATTTTAAAGTTTAAGGGCATGTTGACACAAGTGACAAAATTTACAGAGAATTTATAAAATTTGTCCCTTAGACTTCATTGAAAAGAAAAAAAAAAAAAAAAAAAAAAAAAAACACCAAAAAAAGGGGGGGGAGGAAAAAATATGGCAGGGGAAGGAAAATAGTCACAAGGGAACCTAGACCACTGCAGCAGCCATCCTAGCAGTCCAACAAAATCTCAACCAAAATCAAGGATTAAAAAAAAAAGACTAATATGAAGTTTCTTTAACCAAAAGAGCCGAAAGATGTTCGTGATTATTTCTTTGGGAAGGCAAGTCAACAAATTCAAACCCAAAAATTCTCAAGCAAGTTTTAATACTTTGAACACAAAATAAGTAAAAATAAAAATAAAAAGAAAGAAAGAATTAACGAGACGCAAAGTTTGACCAAGAATAAACAGGGACTGAGCTAAAGATGTTGAAGATGAATGACCATTATAGATTTAATTACCAATTTGCATGTTGAATCCCTTGTTCTGGAGCTCGCGGTACTCTTGGCACAAGGCGCAGGACTCACAGAAGCAGTGGACCAAGCAATCACCGCAGGGACTCTCCTGCAGAGCGTGTTGCTGCCTCATCTTCGACCTGTAAAAACACGAGTAGCAGCACGCGAATCCCGTCACGCACGCTATCAGCGTGTACAGCGCCCCACTCGCTCCACAAGCTGTGACATATATATATTCATTAGATATATATATATATATCAATACACAAACATTCATTCAATCTCACCATATGTTATTAGATATATAACATCAACATCTACATATATGTGTGTAAAACTTAAACTTACATGTGGATCCTTTGTCTACGATCTCAGCAATTTGGCCAAAGGTAACGCAAGGACACCAGAAAGTTACGCAGCCTAGAAAGAAAAACAAAAATTGGAAATTGAATTTAAGATCAGGTCAACAATCAGATCTGGTTGGTTATTAATTGAATTTAAGCGATGTGGAAATTGGAAGCTTAATTACAGTTTTTGACGTCCGAGAAGCAGTCGAAGAGGCCGGTCGACCAGGGGACCGGAACACGCGGCCGGAGGGGAAGTGGGCCCGGGTGTGGCGGCAGCTGGGAGCCGTAGCTGTCGCTGTAGTATTGGTTGGAGGAGCTCATTGGGATGCCGGTCGTCGGGTAGTCAGCAGCCGGGGGCGCGAACGTCTGGGGCGCGAACGCCGGCGGCGGCGGGGTGGTGTACTTCTCGTAAGTTGACTTGGGGTCAGATGAGTACATGATGGTTTTTTTGAGGGGAAAAAGCAGATGTTTTGATGGAATGAAAATGTCTGTGTAGATATGAGATATGAGAATAGAAAAGTGGAATGGGGAAAGGTCGAATTTATAAAAAGCTACCTAGGATAGAGAAAGGATAGTTTAAGCGTATTAAAAGGTTACATTGTTGTTTTTACGGCAGTTTTAGATTGTGTATAAATTTTTAACCATATAGACCGTAAATTCTAGGATTTCATTACACTTATCACTCTGGTTGCGCATAAAAAACTTTGTAAGCAAGTCGTTGTCGTGTAACTTAAGTAAGTAACCGTTGTTGTTAAAAGAAAAAAAAATGTACCGTTGTTGTAGAGTAATTTTGCCACAATTTTGGGAGCCACAAATTTGAGACAAATGCTGCCATCAACCCGCAGTAATTTTTTTTTTTTTTTTTTATAGAACATTTGTTGTGAAAATGGTAAAAATCAATCCAATAATTAAATTATGACCTTTTACATGAAAATCTCATTTTACTTCAAAAGTTAGAGGTGTTTATACGCTAACAAATCATGAATACTGATCAATAAAATTAAATCAAATCAAACTGATTATTTTTAATTTTTAATAATGGATTTGAAAGTTTCATTCTTTAACTTATAGGTTTAATTAATGGTTTTAAAATTTTCAAACCGCAAAATTCACGAAACTAATCAAAACTCGTGTATATTATATTACAAATTTTTAATTGGCCAAACTATACTAGTTTTTATTAATGTTTTTTTTCTTTAAAATAATCGTGAACACCAATAATTTAAGTTGTCTAGAATCTGTAGCCGTCAGATGAAGTGTCTTGTGAGTTAATATTTTACCATAAAAATGAATTATGAACCATACTTGTTAAATAATAAAATTAAAAAAAATTTAGAATTCAAATAATTAAAAAAAAAGAACAAAATTACTTCTAAATGTCTCACAAAAAGAAAAAAAGGGTCAGTAAAAATATATTGATTATATCACAAAATTTCAAGTACCTGTGCTACTTCAAATTTTTATGGTTCAATGGTTCTATCCCTTGTAGCCATGATGATGTGCGAGTAAAAAATGGTAAAAAAGTTTGACGGAGTCCACGGTCGCGGCTGTTGAATTGAATATCAATCAATTATTGTGTTAGCGCGTAAAATGCAAGTCGTAGCTTGTGGCTTCCTTGCAGATTCCAACGACGTACTAACGGGGATTATATGAGCAAATCAGAGACTGAAAAATCATGGAATTAAAACAAAAAAATATAAATATAAATATAAAAAAATAGATGCTTACACTTTACTCGGTCTTCTTCGGACTGAGTGAAGGCAATGGGCCGTTCTGAAAACCTGTGTCAAGCGCGTGAGATTCCAGTTCTCCAACATAACTGAAAAGAGACTTATTTGTCCTGTAAGTGAAAGTTCGGGCCGCCGCTCATTGGCGAATGTTTGGACTGCTTGGCACGGTGACTTGAATGAAAATTTCAGATCAGACTGACTCGGTCAACTTCGCTTTAAATTTTATAAGATATTTTTTAAAAAAATCTTTAAAAAGAGGTTTTTTAGATCGGCCTAGCTTGAGCCCGAGTCAATAGTGATGGATCTTAGGCGGGTCAAATTTACAGTTTTAATTTACTCTGTCACTATTACTTATCGGAAATTTTTAAGGCAGGACATACATTTTTACACCACTGGATCTATTATTTTTAATTGTTAAATTAAATTTTTAGAGAATCATTATGGTAGAGCATGCTATTTTGCTACGCCGGTGGGAACAACAAATAAAAATGTTGTTGCAAAATCAATCGAATGATAAAAATATAGTTTCCTCGTGGAGTAAAATAGCATGTTCCACCATAAATACACTTGATTTTTTTAGTGGTTAACACTGTGTATGTATGTATTAAAATTTAAACGCGCGACATAAAACCTTTTCTACTCTTGATCATAATCAGAAAAAGAATAATCCAACTATTAAAATACAATTCTTATCAGTGGAGTAAAATAACCTTCTCCACCATAAATGCACCTTACTCATTAAGAAATTCTAACAATATAAATTGTTATTCTACCTACTCATAATAACTATTATGTGAACTGTTAGATAGATTTTTAACAATTTCATATGTGAGTGTTGTGAGTGTCCACGTTAAAAATATAAAGCATACAAAATAAAATTTCTTTTATTCCTATTGATATGGTAAAATAATGCGGTTAAATTACCATAAGTATCCCCTCAAAAAAAACTTGTAGCATGGTGGGAGATTAAAATAACATTTGTTTAAATTTTCTTCAATGGGTGTTTCATGTTTGAAAATTTTGAACTCCAACAACAACGTGGGTAAATTTATTTGAAATGTTTGTATTCATGAATGAAGCTTTATTGTTGTATTTTAAAATGGCTCATTAAAAAATGACAACACGGAATAAATTTTTAAAACCTACTACTTACTTTAATTATTTCCAATAAAAATTACTACTCATTTACTTCTTCTTTTGTTTTGGCATAGGAATTGGAACTTATTATATTGGGCTCTTGTTAGAGGGAGGGAGCTTACAAAAACTAAAAATTAAGGAAGCGTTTGGTATGCAGTAATCTTAAGGATGAGAATGAGAATCTGTAATATTACCATGTTTGGTACAATAATTATAATTTTTAGATTCTTAGGAAAGTGATTACCATGGGATTCACTTTCTCTCATTTTGAGGAAATTTGAATACCACCCAACATGGTGTTATTCAAATTCCCAAGAATCTCAAAATCATGAGAATCTTATTATTATTATTATTATTATTATTATTATTATTATTATTATTATTATTATTATTATTATTATTATTATTATTATTATTAT